GTGCACATGTGTGAGTGCGCACGTGTGGGGAGTAGAAATAAATTTCATATGTTTTTCCTTAATCCTTTTCATTTTTCATCTTTGAGACAGGGTATTTCCTTGAACCTGCAGCTCACCGATTAGGTAAAGGAGTTGTCTATCAAACCCCAGGACCATCACTTCTCTCCATATTCCCAGTGCTGGGTTTACAAACCCTGACTGTTTTTTTTACACAGATGCTGATGATCAAACCTAGGTCCTCTCGTGTTTTTCTGTTATCCCAGCCTCTAATTCCCCCCCCCCCAATAAGAGCACTTGAAGGGGAAAATGCCCTCCAAAGCTGAAAAAATGTTATCTACAGCTTAGCTATAGCAATTCTTTATTCATGAAAGAATATAACATGAAATTTTAGGTATAGATGTGCTCAGTGTTTGAATAGACTCTAATACACAAAGGTGAACTGCTCATGTCTTACTCTGGCATGATTTTTCCTCACTAGTAAATTAATTATAATTTTGAGCACCCCATGAGCATTTTTAACAGCTAGGTTTTAAAGTTCTTGTTAAGATATTTTTGACTCTATTCCTTGTGACTGGGAGCCTCTGTCTGTCATTTGAAATATAGAGTAGTATATCTAATATAGAGTAACTTTATTTCATGAAAACCATGTTGGGAATGAAGGAGAAATTGAGTCACGCTGTTTCTCATGAAAATGAAATGTTTCTTTGCTGACAGTGTGGTTAAATAACTTCATGAAATAGAAGTAGCATTTTATATCTCACTTCTCTAAAATTTCTTTTGAGTGGTACTAACCATGCAACAACACTGTTATGGCTTCGATATGAAGACATCTAAAAGGCTTTTGTGGCGCAGCATTGGCTCATAGTGCAGTCATGTTCAGAAGTGAAGTTTAGGTGATTTGGTTCTTGAACATTTGGCATAATCAATGGTTTATGGATGATGAATTTGGAGCCCAGTGGCATTATGAGGGTGAGAGATTTTTCAGAGGACTCTTAACTTGAGGAGATATATCACTAGGGCTATGCCTTCTGTGGATATGATTTCTTGGTTGTTCTCTCTCTTTGCATCCTTTCCACCATTAGGCCATCTTTGGTATTAAACATCCTCCCCAACAATCTGGTCTATCTTGCTATTAGCCTATGGCAAATGGTGCCAACCAACTGTGGACTAAAACCTCTGAAACAATGAGCCAAAATAAATTTTCCCTCTCTCAATTTGTTTTTATCAGATATTCTGCTGCAGCGGCAGGAAGCTAGTACAAACAGTACTCTTCAATATTCAATATTCAATAAATGACTCTTTTGTCTTTAAGGAATTTGGTCAGGTATATCACTATCTGTCTCAATGACTGCCCTTCATATAATCTTCACTGGTCATCATTTTTATATAATTTACCCCTTTTATTTAATTACTCAACACTTGCAGATTCCATGATTGGCAATATGTTCATTCAGTGAAATCCTGTCCATACTGTGCTCATTCACTGAGGAACAACTCACTAGTCTTTCTAGCAAACTTTAACAGTTCCCAAGAGTAGAATGAGAATTAATTTCACTGTTTGAAAAGTGACTTTGTTCATTGTCAGTCAGGTCTGTATTTTATTCAAACTATTGAACTTTTTCTTTCATTGTTCAAAACCTTTTTTAACATCCTAAGAATAGTATCATGTATGTTATTTACCACTACTTTCTGTGTTATTTTAAAATCAGGGACATGAAACTAAGGAAAACTGTCTTCATTAGTTACTGCTCCTCACTGTCACCTTTTAAGTTAGAGGAGAATACAATTCGTGAGCTTGTTCTACTATACCTGTCTGTGAACAAAAGCAGCTTGGGAGATAAGTGGTTACAGCCTATCATCAAGCAAACTCAAGGCAAGAACCTGGAACAGAAATCATGGATGAACACTCCTGACTGGAATGACCAGTTGTCTTTTTATAAATGCAGACCTTCCAACTCAAAGGTAGCACTGCCATTAATTAACAGTAAAAATGCCCCATGAGTATTCCACAGCCACTCTGATATAGGCAGTACCCCATTGAGGTTCTAACTTCCGAGGTGACACTGGATTGGGTAACTTGACAGCTGACCACTAGCTCTGGCAAGAAGGAATGATAATAATATTATATATTCAAAGAATTGGCTCCATGGTCACTTGACTTCATCTTTCTGGAACCTTATATGGTGAGGCAGAACACCATTGTGACTGGAGCATGGGGTAGAAGTTGGTCACATCATCATTGACAGGGAGTAAACAGAAAGGGGCCAGGGACTATGAAACCGTGAATTTCTTCCCCATCTTGTTTTAGTGTTAATAAGGCTGGCCCTGTGTTAGTTCAGTACAAGTAACTATAGTTGTGAGTTAATAATCACAATAATTCTATCAACTCTAGAGAATAGCATCTGTAATCCTTCACTGTCTTCATTCTCTTACATACTTCCCTCACCCTCCTCTGCTGTGTTATCCAAGTCTTAAATAGAGGAGTGTAAATGTCTTATGAAGGCTGGGAACACAGCCCTCACTTATTTTCTACATTTTGGGAAGCTGTAAGTCTATGCATAAATGGCCATGTTTTTGTAGGGAAAGGCATCTCAGATTACATATAAATTGCCTTTTTCAAAAACACATCTTTACAACTCCTGTCATTAAAGCAACAATAGTATGTTGAAAGATTCGAGGTTTATTTAGAGTTGGAAAGGGCAGGATTGAAGTCATGATTTCACACACTTGCTATAGAAAATGAACTAGAAATGTAATGCAATCCTTTCTTCTTGCAGTGTTTTTATTTGTACATAATGAAATTGTAGTTTCTGTAAACTTACCATGTAAATATTTCAGTAAACAGCAAATAAGGTGAGAACTTGCTCTGAGTTATCCGTCATCATTCATTTTAATATTTTTATTTCAAAATAACAGGAATTTTGTTCTCAATTCTGACAAGAGATTGTAAGTTTGTTTTTAAATGTATAAGATATATTAATTGGCTTATTTTAATACAATTCAAAGAAAACATATCCTTATACATATACATTTAACTATGAACATTTGACTAATTCTCAATATTAATTCCAAAGGCAATTATTAAAAATTATTATGATACTTCTGTTAATGGAGAGCAAAGAGATCCTTCCCAATTAAAGGAATATTTTTTGTTTTTGTTTTGTTTTTTGTTTTTTCTGACAGATACCACATATTTGGGAAAATATGACAGAGAATAGAACTTGTAAACGTATACAAAGAATATATGATGATGAAAATAGACCTTTATAAGAAATAATGATGTCTCTGTTTATTTTATTAATTGTTGCTATGTAATCTGGTCAACTCATCAACATTAACTTTCACAGAATGATGTTAATACCATTCTGGTAAGAATCCACCACTTTACATAGAAAGACATTTAATAAATTGATCTTTCAACATTTCAAATAATCTTTTGTGGGAAACATATCTTCATTTAATAAATGATGGTTTGAATGAGTCTGGAATCCTTCCAGTTTAAGTCTCATCCTGCAGATAACCTGAATGAGATCCTCAGACATTAAGTGAATTTTCCAGATTCATGCAGACTCTTACGGAGGAAAAAAAAAATGAAATCCCCCATTATCTCATTTCTCTTCATTGTTTTGACTTTATAGTTGGGTGTTGCTCTTATTGTCGCCATTAAGGAGGATTTGCAATCAACAGCACCTTAATGTTCACTCTGGAATATCTTCAACTGCAGTATAATTTGCTAACAGCAACCCACCTACCATATTTTTAAATCCCATATCTGGATTTTTAACAGTATCTAAGGTTTCTATTTGTTTAATTTTTTATCTTATTTTTGTTTTACTTAAATCATCTACTCTTCTGTGACAAATATATTTATTGTATACATATAATTGGGGGTATTTATTGTTTTAGAACCAGTCCAAACATTCCCTTATAAGTCTTGGACACAGAGGGAATTTGATTGCTATTTCCCTAGGAGGATTCATCACTTCTCCGTTCTTTCTCCATGAAGAATGCTATTTTGTTTTGTTTTCTACTGTAGGAATAGGTTCATATGATGCCAGACACAAGACTATAGTTTTAGAGGAAGGATTTTCTCATAAATGTTTGGGTTTCAAAAATCTAAACAAGTTTGTGTTACTTTCATGAGACCTAGTCTACAGTGTTCACCATCTTGGCATTATTTGGTTCATCTTAGCAATAATTTTTTAAAATACCAACATATGGTATTTTAAAGAATGTAAGCATATAGATAAAGGGCTTGAAAATGGAAAATATGAAAAGAAAAACATCAGAAAAGAGAATAATGGATCTCATTTTCATCTGAAATTGGCCTTTAAAATTCTCTAATTTCTTTTTGTGCTGTGGATATATTTTCTGTAATCTATGATTAAATCACTAACCCCACATGGTCCTTAAAATTGGGATTTATACTTCAGTTTAAAAGTTGGGAGCCTACTATGCACCTGTTGTCATTGCTGTCTGGTTTGCTCAATTACTCACTCTTTTAATATACCCGATTTTGTATTTTATTTTTTAGCTGGAGTTTGCAGACAGTGGTCAGCCTGCCCCTAGATCTCCTGAAGATTATTAAACTCTCTGTGGTTTCATTTATAGGAGGGTGAGGAATGAACTATGAGATAGGGAATTGAGATGATTTCTACAAAGAAGGCAAGGAGGAAAAAAAGGATCAGAAAAAAATGAGATGAATGAAGATATTTAAAATGCACAAAATCAATATCCATAGTGTTGTGGTTTGATATGGATTTAATGTCAAGCTGATATAAATTCTCATAGGTCAAATCAAATACTTTTCTTCTGTCTGCTTATATCTAGAATATTCATGTTAAACAACTCATAAATGCTTGAGGAAATAGATATACCTAACTTGATTTAAACACTGTACCTGGAATGTATGTACATAAACATGCAATTTACCCATGATTACACATAATTTTTAAAGATTCATTTTAACTTTGCCTATATGAGTGTTTTTCTGCTTTCAGTTATGTGAAACATGTGCATGTCTAGCACCTGTGGAGGCCAGAACAGGGTACTACGTCCCCTGCAAGTGGAGTTACAGATGTCCGTGCACCAGTATGCAAGTGCTGTCAACTGAACTTGGGTTTTCTATAAGAGTCATTGTAAAGGGAAGCCTTCCTGCCAGCCTGGTTCCAGAGCCGCATCAGTCCCAAATAAACACACAGGAAGCTATATTAATTATGATGCTGTTGGTCTTGCTTGTTTCTTACTGGCTAAATCTGACTTAAGTATTTACCCCATAATTGTTAATCTAAGTATTTCTCTTACCAGATAATAGTTCCGAACTTCTTATCCCCATGGCAGTTACATCTTGACTCCCTGTGTTTCTCCTACCCAGAGTCCTCCTCGACTCCTAGTCCCACCTATCTTGCTTCCCTATTGGCCAACGGTGCTTTATTGACATATACACAGGACTTCCCCCATCAAGTCATAAGTACTTTTAACCATTGACCTATTGCTACAGACCCATGTATACAGACGTCTTCTATTTTACGTATCAACTAAAAACAAACTGAACTTAAGTGAATGAACAAGTATGCTAAATAGTTAAAATGGAAATTATAGCCAGGTTTATAGTTCAAATAAAGAGGCAAGTGGTATTTAAAATGAGAAAAATAATTTGTTAACTCTGTTTCTGTCAGTTCTCCTGACAAGTAATTAGTCCAAGAAACAGTGTGAAAAAAAATCTATTATTTCCATAAACTAGCCTTTTTCAACTTACCTGTTATTAAATATCCACATAGACATCGCATAATCACTCCATAAAAAAATTCTTGTACGTCCTTTACTCTTGACTGTGTTTTTCTGATAATAATATGCCTTAGGTTTAAAATATTTGTTTATTATCATTACATACATATGGTTCCTTGGCTACAATAATATAAGCACACATGTTCTGTGCCATGCCTTTTGGCAGCAGGAGATACATATCTCACTAGGTTCCATTTATTCTTTAGGGTTTTTTTATTATTATTATTTTGAGACATGGTCTCTCTGTATAGCTTTGTAGATCAGAATGATCTCAAACCCACAGAGATCTGCCTGCCTCTGCCTCCTGAGTGCTGGGATTACAGGCATGCACCATCACCACCCAGTTTTATTCTCTAGGGTTTTATTTATCATATTTGTATGATATGCAGATACCACAAACTTTAATTTCCTATAATAAAATTATATTATTTTGAGAACAAGCACACAGACACTGAGATGCATCTATGTCTTAATCTTGATAAACAAATATCAAATCCTTCTATTTAGAACAACATTGACCTCATGCTGAGCTCCTCATATGTCATAACTATTTAGAAAGATGGACTCACAAGGGCACAGTAGAGAGGCTCTAACCCCTGTCCCCTGCCCATCAGTGCCTGAGGCAGGTGGGAGACCTTAAGAGCAGGAGAGCTTCCCCTGCCTGCTATAAACTACAACACTGGGGAAGGAGGCCCTGCACCTTGCCTGGGCAGCACAATAGAACCAAACCCATTGGAAGAGGGGTGGATGAACAAGCTGCTAAGTTGTGAGCATTCATGAGCTGTCCACATTACACATCTGCCAAGTGGCAGCAAGGACAGGGGAGATATGCCCCCCCCATCAATGCCTGAGGCAGGTTGGAGAACTGTAATACTAGGGAGAGAGGCCTGTACATCATCCCTGGGCAACATAGAGTTTGTCAGGGAGTTGTCAGTGTGAGAGATCTGACACTGAGGACATGAAATAAGGAGAATTGGCCCTACTCTTTGCTCATTGCCATGAGGCATGAACTTGCCAGAGCCATGCAGGAGAACTCATCCTGATGGTGAGGACAAGGGACACCCTATGATTTGACCAATTCTGCTACTACCCCAGACCCAGAACCAGGGTTATGTATTGGCCCTCCCCAACATCTACTCCATCTATGATCTGCTGGTGCACACGAAGGGACCAATCCTGCAGAACCACAGCTGCAGGATTTCTACAACACAGAATAAATGCAGGATAACCAAGAGGAGTTCTGGGGAGGGACCAGCATTGGTAGTGTTGCAGAAACCAGAGGCCTTGAATTAGACCAATGAAACTTTGCAATGAACACTTACAAGTAAAGATACATGGATAAAAGGGTTTACTGTGTAACCCACTGTGTCACACTACAGCCTCCTTGATGATTTTATTTTCCTCTTAAATTTTATTGTGGAGGTTTGCAAAGGCAGATAATATATATATATATATATATATATGATGATATATATATGATGAGGGGACAGGGAAATGAATGGGATGGAGATACACAATGTGAAAGACACATAAATGAAAAGAAAGATGGACTAAAAGCAGTATAGTCTTTTTTTTTTTTTTTTGGTTTTACGAGACAGGGTTTCTCTGTATTGTTTTGGAGGCTGTCAGTCCAACCCGGCCTTGAACTCACAGAGATCCACCTGCCTCTGCCTCCCGAGTGCTGGGATTAAAGGTGTGCGCCACCACCGCCTGGCAGCAGTATAATCTTCTACAGAATACAAAACTAATAATCAGTAGACAAAAGACATTGCATGAAAGCTAATAAAATAAATCATGTTTTGTTATAAGTAGAAAAATATATCCAAAAATATTTCAAAAACTGTACAAATAAATATTTTATTGTATGTGGAATTATCTAAAAAATCAACTTTAATAGATAATTCAAATATTTTGTCCTAATTACAGTAAGTTCTATAAAAGGTACTATGTAAGCCAAACTACCAATCACAAGCATTGCATCAAATCTCTGCATAAGTTTTCCTCAAAATTAAGAAAATTATAAAAGAAAGCCATGTTTAGAAAATGACTATGCTAAATTAAGATATAGTTTTATGAAATGATGATAAATACATCTATAGCAAAATCTCTTACTAAAACAACAATCAAAACAATCTTGAAAATCAACAAGTTCTAGTAGAGAGAATTTTGTTAAAGATGAGATCATGCCATTCATGAAGTCTGATGGCTTCCAAACTCCACCAATTTTTTAGATTTATCTGTCGTGATTCCATGAGGATGAAACCACATCAGTAATTTTGATACGGAAAATTCATGAAACAGATTTACTGGGGTATGGAGAAGATGGCTCAGCCCCTGAGAACACTTGATGTTCTACTAGATGACTTAAGTTTCTTTACCAGCACCTACATTGTCACCCAAGTGCAGTAATCCAGAAAACTGTCAGAGACCTATTGGGAGAGACAAAAGTATGATCCTGATGGTGAAGTTCACAGTGGGTTGTAGAACAAGGTTGGTGTGTAGAAGAATCGTTGCTGAATCACAGGAGATCTTCACCTCAATGCTTCTAAATCTGGCTGGGAACTATCCTTTCTATCCTTTTTGTTTTGTTTTGTTGTTGTTTTTTCGAGTCATGTTTTCTCTGTAGCTTTGAAGCCTGTCCTGGAACTAGCTCTGAGACCAATCTGGCCTTGGGCTCACAGAAAACTACGTGCCTCTGCCTCACGAGTGCTGGCACTAAGAGTGTGAATCACCACCAGCTGGCAGGAATTATCCTCTTAGCTGTCTGCTAGGTACCTGAGATGCTTTCTCCTTCAATTGCTGGGGTAAAATACTCTGAAAAATAAGGGATGAAGAGTTCCTCAACAAAGATAAAAGACCATGTTTAAAATACATTCTGAAAAATGCTACCTCCAGAATAGAGTCTGATCTGAGATTGATGTATATGGATCAGAATCTCAGAAGTGATCTCTATAAGCATAAATGAGCAGTTTAAGAATTGGGTGGTACCCCTGCCTCGAAAAAGCAAAAAAAAAAAGAATTGGGTGGTACACTGGAATTTACTCACATGTATCTTTTTATGGAAGCCTCTGCATTTTCTTCTCTATGTTTTCAATTATTTTTAAGTAGCAATGAGTCACCCGTTGGCTTTTGAATAATTAATACACATTTTTAATGAACCTTTACTTGCACACTTCACTGTTTTGCTGTTAAAGTTAGTCACATCTTACACAGAGAACTAGAACACAAGCTATAAGAATGTTGAGTATGTATGGCATCTCATGCACTTCTATCTAAATGTCTACACTTTGACTTAAGTTCAGCTCTGCATAAAGAACTAATAAAATCTCATTCAGTAGAATCACAAAAATGGACTTGTTTATAGCAACTCAAAACTAGTACAACTGACAAATTGCTTGATCTTACTTGCTTTTGTTAAAAGCTCAGTACTGAAAAATACATGTACATTTTACAAAATATTAAAGAACATAGTTTTGAAGAACATTGTTTTGATAGATTCAATATTTCTCTGTATTTTTATCATGAAAACATTTTTAGGTTTCAAATATGTTATGATTTCCCAGATTAACACTCAGTGTGGACCTTAAATTCATTTTGCTCAAAAACATACTCAATACAATGTTTAAAAGTACGCTGTATTTAAACTTGAGGGAAAGGACTCAGCAGGAAACAATAAGAGGATGAATTAAGCCAGGTTCTTAACGTGACGTAGAGGATTGCTGACCTTTGTTGCATTATTCCTTTCCAGTAATTTATCAAACTCATTCAGTTGTGTCCTTTAGATACTTCTCCCTTCAATCCCAGGCATTTTGCCTTTTTTACATTGAGAGAAAGAAGTCTAAATTTGCTGGATGCATGATCCTCATAGAAATGATTCAGTTGCGTTTTTATTTGTTGTGTGTGCTTGTATGGGTAATCGTGCACAAGTAGAGGTTGCTGCACTGCTCGTGCGAGTCACTTTTCTCTTGTCACATGTTGGTCCCAGGGACAGAGCTCAGACCATCAAGCTTGGCAGCAGGCAACCTTAGCTACTGGGCCATCTCACAGGCCTAAGGATATCAGTTTCAACTTTACTTTCACAACTCAAGGATTTTCCTCATAAATATGACAGCATTTTGAATTCTTTTCTTTTATTTTTTATTATTTTAATTTTAAATAGCTTGTTTTACATGTCAATCCCAGTTCCCTCTCCCTCCCCTCCTCCCCCACCCCTCCTATGATCCCTCCCAGCCTCCCACCCTATTGCATTTCTTACCTAACTGTGTTGGTCAAATTGCCCACATTGTACATAGTAGCGATGAAAACAGTAAACATTCCTATCTTCTGCATTTCTGTATTGAAAAGTATTTGGTAATAGTAGGGGGAGAGTCTATGTCAGATTCCCAGTAAAAAGCTGTAAGGAGAATGTATGATTAGCAAA